GCGAATTAAGACCGACCAGGACCAAAACAGTGACTGCAATTAAAACTGGCAATGACCTGGACACTAGAAGAAAAAGAAGAGTGGGGGAGACCAAAGATCACCTGGAGACGTACAGTTCATAAAGAGAGAAAGGAAGAGTAATCCTTATCATGGGACGAAAAGAGAACCATAGCAGCTAACTGGGAAAAAGTGGAAACACTCTGCGGGGGCTTTAAATGCCTCAAGGCAAGAAGAGGATTGGTGAGGTGAGGTGAATTAAGCCCGAGAAAAATTTCAGGGTAATTTCAGGTTCAGGTAATTCCCAATTGCCCAAAATGCGATTAAAATTGTGATGACCATATCTTCATTTAGATTTGTGTTACCGTAGTTCACATTATCTTTTTTTCTAAGTTGAAACATTATGTCATAAGTTGGTTACGTCTGCCGCCTAGAGGACAGCAGTTTCCAAAAGACCTACTCTATGGTTAAGTAACTTCGACCTTGACCCACGTTAAGAAAACTGAAAGGTCTTCTTCTTCTGTCGCTTTTTGTCGCTGTTTTAGGACAAACAGATGCAATTTCAGAAACTGTGTCAACTTTAAAGATCTTGATGTAAGGTTCTGCATCTCAGCCTTTAACTGTTCGGAATCACATTCCAGGTTTTCATCCTTAGGAATCTTGAGCTTATAAACACCAAAAAGGCTTTGACATTCCTCCATCCCCAACAAGTCTTCCTTGTCACTACTGCCACGTTTGTTCAATCCATGATTACACATTGGGTAAAAGCGAGAGTCGTCCAAGGAACGCAATATGTCTCTACATAGTAACTAAATGGGTCCTTTTCTTAGATTATGAGAAACCGTTTGACTTTCCTAGCAACGGAACTCTGAGTCATTAATAACTCGATACGTAAATTGAGATCGACTTCAATTGAACCTCCTGTGTAATCGATCGGTGTAAGTCCCCAGGTTAAAATCTAAAGAAAAAAACGCGGTGTATCGCGGAACTTAACAACAACAAAACAACAACAACTTGTTATCACCTGGTGTAAATTTAAATAGAACTGACGAATGGGGATTATATATCAATTTTGTGCATATCAAGGGAAAAAGAGATTATGATTCCTAGGTAGAAAACGACCTAGGAATATTCTACGTACAGCTTAAATACCTCCAATAGGAAGATTAAGTTTTAGCGTCTGTCTTTATTTGGAACTGCAAACTTTTGCCTAGATTTTGTGATATGAGGTTTGGGTCTTCTCCCATTGTGGCTCTTGCATGGTCTTCACCAAAAGAAAACTGCCCGCAACCCAGTAATCACAGGGTGGCTGTCTGCAGTTTACCTTATACCTACCTTGCCCTATTTGGTTAGCACTTTTTGCTCTCGTTTATGCGTGATAGGGATTCGGTTAGCCTTTTAACATCTAGCCTTAATACTTCCTATCCACTATTACCGTTTTACCGTTGATCATCCTCGGTAACCGAGCGGAGCTTATAGGACGTGATACGCCAAATCACCTGAGTCAAAGTTTACAACAAATCTGTGAATTTAATAATTATTAATTTTGGCAAATATTTTTCTTGACTCCACGATAAGAAATAAATAATATATAAAGATATAAGGCGTTAATTTCAGGGATGACACAGATTTTGCTCTTCAATAAACGATTATATCTTGCTGGTAAACTTTACGAGGCTGTGTCTTTAAACCGTTCCGGTGCAGTCGGGGTCGAAAAATAGTTTGCCCTCAAAATTTGCCCAGCAAATCATCTTGGTTCATAAGTAAATTACACGACTTTCGCTTTGAGAAATATTTCAAAATACAGATTTTAGAGCGTTCAACTGTCAAACTGCTGAATGCCCTAAATTTGCGTCTGGCGAAAGCCGAAATTTGCAATTCTAGGTTACAGTGTAAATAGAGTGTGAACTTTGAATTTTGTTGCACTGTGTCTATAGAAAAATTAATTTACTAGCACCTATGAGAGACCATTTTGAAAGCCCAGCAAAGTTGTGTTCTCTGTTCTCGCATTCACTCAATTACCTCGGGTTAGTAAAAGGGGCTACTCTACCGACTTAGACGGAAAACCGTTATTTTTGTACCAAATCCTACGATATGATTGATTCACTTAATAAAGCTGGGTCATACAAGGTCTTCTCCTTAGTCCATCACAGTATCAGGCAATCAAAAATCAAATGGAAATTAAACAAAACAATAACAAAGTGCCCGACAATATAACAATCAAAATCCGTCAAAATTGACAGATATACAGACAGTTAAAGTCAGACAGGTTATCAAACTCGTTCCCAGGGTTCTCTCCTACCCGCCCTACGGAGCTCCGTAGGGCGGTTAGGAGAGAACCCTGGGAACGAGGTTGACAGATTATTCGTTCAAAATTAAAACTGTTCTGTTTTTAAATCAAGACGTATTTATTTATCTGTCTGACGCGAATCATCCAACTGGAAACACCCCCCTCAGACGGATAGTTCGTCTCTACTGTGAAAACGGCAAATACGTACTCAATTTTGCGACTGCGTTAGACCGCCTTTAAAATTTTCAATGGACACGATATTCGGGGATTTTATAGCACACTGATCTATTGTAGCCCTAAAAAACGCTAAAGAAAATCTGTCCAAAATTTTGTTTTAATCCCTGTTTTTGTGAAAGAAGCTTTATAAATTACAAAAAGAGCTTAGCATTTGGTTTTAACTTGATTCACATCTTTTCATGTTTTTCCACGGCAAAAAATCTCTTATTTTCTGGTAATTTTACCAAACGGTTAATGTATTGAAAATGCCGCGTTCACGATCCGTTTTCTCGTTTCGGAATTCGCAAGGAAAATTCGACGTTCACAATCCGTTAACACCAGGAAAATATGCTGTTTACTTCACATTTTCCAGCAGACGGAAAACGTGGTTGAACAGTGCGCTTTCTTTCGTTAACGGTAAATTTTACCAAACGGTTAATGTAAGGAAAATATCACGTTCGTGACTCGTTTCCCACTTCGGAAAAGTCAAGGACAACTTGGCATTCACCATCAGTTAACAGGGCGAAAATATGCCGTTCGTGTCACATTTTCCAGCACATGGAAAACGGGGTTGAACAGTTCGTTTTCTCTCGTTAACCTGAAATTTTACCACACTGTTAATGTCGTGAAAATATCACGTTCCTGACTCCTTTTTCGACTTTGGGTAACACAAGGAAAACTCAACATTCACCGGCAGTAACCTGACCAGGAAAACATGCCGTTCATTTCACGTTTTCTAGCACATAAACGCGATTCAACCTGAGTGCGTTTTGCAACTCATTTTACCATCGTTATCAGCAAAGTGTAAACAGGCCGTTGACCGCCGTGTTTTCCCAAAGCGGTTTACGCGTTAAAACAGTGACCCACATTGTGTACAGTTTTCCTGCACATGCAGGCATTTCGTCTGAAATTCTGGGCTATCGAACCTCAAAGTTTTCACTTTTAAAAAAAAATAAAATGCATTGTCTAAAATAGGGTCATTGATCAATTTTAAAGACGCAAAAAGTGAAAAAAATATTCTTGCCAATGCGATTATTTGTATTTTGCATCAAACATTGACAATACATTCCAGGAGGAGCCGGCTCCTGCCTCCAGATAGGCAATTTGTCTGAGAAAACCTCACCCCCTATAAATAACCATTCATGAAATGTCATTTGCAGCAATTTCTACTCAAAAGAAGGAAACGCCCCTTGGAAATGTGTTTTACATTGTCTAATACCCAAACATATCACCCGCAATGACGTCATCAGTAGTGGATGGCGGACCGTTTGTTTAAGTAAAACCCTCCTGCGCTTCGACGAAACATTGTTTTTCAAACCAAACAAATAAGAATATTTACAATAACACCATTTCAATTGTAGATAGAAAGAAACCTTTATTTTAGTAGGGTGGCTCCTTCAGTTTTTGTACAAAATAAAATAAAAACTGAATAAGAAATGGAAATAAAAAATAAAAATAGCTATAAAATGCCACAATGTTTTTCGATGAATAACGAATATTTGTTGATGTTGAAAAATGTTCAGCCTTTTCAAAATGATTATGTGGAGCAGCCTATCGTTTAACGCTTTCCTGATACTGTAGTAAAACTTATGCATTTTCCAGCAGAATTATCATGGTGAAATTCCCACCAGGGATGGCTCATTAAGCCGGCTGCCAACTCATTTTGAGAAGGTATCTAAAGAAAACTAAAAAAATAGTGTGACACGGCACCTTTAAGGCTTACATCAATCTACATGTAACTTGGTACTCCAAGAACATTTTCTTGATTATAAATTATTTTTCCTATTGAACAGTTGGATTGAATTCTTTGCACAGGAATAAAACAGGCAGGTCCAAACACATCAAATGAGTTGCACCATATTTCCACAGGCACTCCATCCATATGAATAACGCTGTGGATGCAATGAATACCAATTTTTTTATTTTTTTATTTATTTTTTTTAATTTTTATTCCTCCAATTCCTAGCTGATACATAGTTATGTAAATATAACTGAGAAAAATAATATAGTAAGAGATAAAGATTTACAAAGGAAATAAACGCGTAAAATAGAAATTACAACACTTAAATTGAATTACATTGTATATTGGAAGGAGAGGAGAGGGGCACATCTAGATAAACTAATATTGTGCCCCTTAAAGTTATGTTTAACAA